TAACTTGTTTAGAAATTTAAAAACAAATATTAAAAAAAATTAAAAATTGAAGATTAAGATGGACTGATCTATCTAAACCCACGATGGGCCAAGATGGGCCAGACGGGCCAAATGGGCCGGCTCGTTCACGGTCAAGCCTAGCCCACAGAAAATTAGCCCATGGTGTGGATTGGGCCGGGGGTTGTTCTTATATGGACCGGACCGGCCCGCGTGGTTCTATGGTGAAATTTGGGATAAGAAGGGAAAAAACATAATTGGTAAAGTGATGAGTAAATTATAACATATTTTTTAAAATAGTAAATTATAGCATAATTTGATATTTTAAGTTATAAACATTATTAAAAACTCAAAAATACCTCTAAACTTCATTTTCCACCTCACTCCTCCCTCTAAACATCTATTTTTTTAAAAATAGTAAATTATAGCATATTTTTAAATAAGGTAGATTATAGTCAAGTCCACCATGACCGGGACCAACGGCCGGCTCCGGCGATCGGATACCATTTTCCAGCAACACGTGACAATTTTCTAGAGACTGGTAACTGTTTTATGGTGACCGTTTAGCACTATAATTACTAGTAAATATCGTATTTACTAATAAATATAATGTTTACCTGAAAAGCCAACCATCGACTCCGGTGACTGTTTAACGCTGCATTTACAGGTAAATATTGTATTTACCAATTGATAAGTGTATGAAAATGCACTTAAATTGTTCATAATTGTTAAATAAATTGGGTTTTAATTAAATATTTTTGTGGAATTAATTTTGTGTGAAAGTATTTGATTTTAATTTAATTTAATTTGTTTTGTAGGGAGATAAGGTATTTGGGCCAAAACTAAAAAGAAAAAAAGAAGAAAGAGGCCCATTAACCCATCAGCAGCCGTCTGTCAGCCGAGCCGCGCGAGCCTCACCAAGCCGCCACGTGTTGCTGTCTGTCACGTCGCAGATCAATGGGCCCCAGCTGCACCCGCTCGCACGCGTGCTTGGCGCGTACCGCCCTTCCCCTGCGCGAGTGTCCTCCACGCAAACGTCAGATGGTTCCTCATTTCTTCTCCGCATGGGTCCCGCGCTGCAGCAGCTCTCCATTCAACTTTCGTCACGTGTCCATACGAGACCCAGCTGTCGGCCACTTACTCCTCTCAACCTCTCTTCGCGCGACACGTGTCCCACATGTTGGGATTCTTCAGCCCGTTTTGTTCCGTTGAAATTCATGGATAACTCAGCCTTCATTCTCCATTAAACCGTGTAAATTCCAATTAATTTGGGATCAGTTTTTTTGTATGGTTTTTCACTTGCTGATTGAGTTTTCGTTTAACATGCCCAGAAACTCTATAAATAAGGGCTATATTTAGTGTATGAGGTTGTTGATTCTTAGCTTAAGTTTATACACATTTTCTCTTATTTTCTTGCTCTTATTCTCATATTTTCTCTTTAAAATTTTGTGAGAATTATGTGCAAGTTAAGCTAGAGTACTTGGGTGAGGCTAGAGATGATCCCATATTTATAGTGAACTTGTTTAGATTTTGATTCTCCAATGGTTTGTAAGTTTTATACATTTGAGTAAATAATTTTCTCTTATCATATTTCTTCCTCTTATCAATATATTTTATTGTCAACTTTTATATAAATCTAGTCAAGCTCTTTTTATGTGATTGTTGCATGATATTATATATTGGTAGGTATTGTTTTATGAGTAGTCTTTTACTGCAATATTACCAACGGTATATTGTCACTTTTAGATTTATCATAAGATAATTTTTCCTAGTTCTAAACGTATGAATCTTAGTTAGTCGAATACATTTTAATTCACAAGTTCTTCAAATATTTATCTTCCAATTGATTGTTTAGGATGTGAAACTTTCAATTGAGTCAATTTATGAATCAAAATCTAAATAGGTGAACGAAGCATATGGAGGATTCTTAATGCCTTACCACTTTTTAATTATTGAATTTTCTCCATTTTAAATTGTTCAAAAAAATCATCAAAAACACTCATTTCTTCTTTGTTTGATTGCTTTCTTTCCTAACGCTTTTTATTTGCTAATCGTTTCTTGTTCAATTTATCGCCTCTTCGTGGGATCGACCGTCCTAATTGTGCTATAATTGACCGCTTATTTTTGTACACGTTTGGGCGTAATCACCAATAAATACCGTATTTAAGTGTAAATATCAGATTTATTCAAAAATCCAGCCACCGACTTCGGTGGCCGTTTAACACTGTATTTACCAATAAATATTATATTTACTAGTAAATATTAAATATCATATTTATCTAAAAATTCATACACCAATTTCAACGCTCGTTTAATACTATATTTACTAATAAATACCGTATTTACCAATAAATATCGTATTTACGAGTAAATATTGTATTTACTAGTAAATATCATATTTATTTGAAAATTCAACCACTGACTCTGACGACCATTTAATATTGTATTTATCGGTAAATACCGTATTTATTAATAAATATCATATTTATTCAAAGATCATGCCACTGACTTCAGCAGTCATTAAACACTATATTTACCTGTAAATACTATATTTACTAATAAATATAACAGATTTTAAATTGTAACTACTAAAGTAATTACATGTAAATATAGTATCTAGTAACTAAAGTATTTAAAAATATTACAATATTTATCAGATATAAATTTTTATTCAATAAAATATTTACTGGTAAATACAGTATTTGTCATATTCAAACTTATTTAGTGAAACATTTACTGGTAAATACACTATTTCCTATATTAGAAAACGGAGAAGCAAACGAGGGAGTAAAACTTGCTCGAACTGCTGGCCGGCGCCGAATCTGGCCATCTGCGACTTCGTCGAGCTCGTCTCGCCGTCACAGAACCACAAAAATCGTTGCCATCACTGGAGAAAACCCGATCTCACCATCACGTCGTCACTGTCAAATGTCACGATCTAGTCAGACGTGGTTCGCAAGTCCATATTGTCATCACGTCTTCGTTGTCACCACTTGGAGTGGATGCCAAATGTGGCAATCTGCTCGGAGTGATTCGCAACGCGACCTGTTCGATCGCCGTCATCGTCTTCACCAAATCAGAGCAGAGGTTGCTGGCGAGAGAGATGAGGGAGGAGAGCGAGACCCGAACTTGGCATCGCCGTCCGGAGCAAATGTTACGACGAGAGAGAGGGGGTGATTAGAGAGAAATGGGAGAGGCGGCTAAGGGGAAGGGTGATAGGAAGAAAAGATAAATAAAACCGTAAAAGAAAGAAAAATAAATTTGGGAAAGAACATTTAATTTTAAATTGAAAATTAGAAACATGTTATAATTTATCGCTATTTAAAAAAAATGCTATTTATTTTAAACATAGTATCAAATATTCTATCTGATGCATTTTCTGTGAAACTTTTCCTGCTTTGGAAGCTGTTGTTTTGAGGGATGTATAAATAGGACCGTACATAAACCCGAACAACCCATAAACTCAACTCACCTCATTCCAATTCAACTAAAAAAAGGTAACTTGTAGCATTATTTTTTATTTTTCTGCCCACTAAATGTTTGGTCCGAAGTGTTTATGGCAATTTGTGGGTTGGGCATATAATAACCTGCATATCCTAACCCAACCCGCACAAACATGCATGGGCCATGTCCTCTAAATTCTAAGTTCTAACCCTAGGCTCTACTCTCTCTCGTCTAGCAACTCTCCTCTCCACACGCAGACACATACTGTCTTCAGTCCTTCCTCGACCAATCGACATAGATCCTTAAGCTCTCTAGCGTCAGTGGCTTCTTTCTGCCTCTCCTCTCGGCTCTCTCCGCCTCTTCGCCTCTCCTCTCGGTTCTCTCCACTTCTAGATTAAACTTTCATTCGAGCCCGACCACCTAATCCACTCCGTCCCGCCCCAACCCAACCCAAGCATTATTAGATTGTAAATTTTTTTTAACATCATTAAAGTCAAATACGTACAATCCGCACCTTTTAAGACATGACAAAAAAAATAATATTCCGTACCAACCAAACTCATGTACAACTTTGGCCCCGTTCACTTCGTTGATTCGAGTTGAGATGTGACTTTATGTGAGAGCTTTTTACTGTAGCTAAAAAGTTAGATGTGATTGTATGTGAGAGTTTTTTACTGTAAAAAACTTAAATTTTAAACTCGAATCAGCAAAATAAACGGAACATTTATGTATAAATGGCGTTATATGTTACCTCCGCCCATCGATTGAGACTTTCAGATGCAAGGGGAGCTTTTCGGTTCAAGTGAGACCCAACTATATAATAAATTATTATTAAATATTAAGTCACATTCTAATAGAAAAATACGTTGCAATAGATATAAATTCATAGTTGAGAGGTGGGCCCTATTTCCCAATCACCTACTCTTCCTTTAATTTCTAGTTGAGCCCCGAATAAATAGAAATAAATAAAGAAATACTAATTGTTTGACGAAGCTTCAAGGATTTTTCAAGATTTTCATTAAATATCCTGTATGACTCTTCCAAAAAGGTTATGGGCTATTTCTTTTTAAAACAAAATTAAATAAATAAATAAATAGTTTTAAAGATGAAAAACTACCAAACTTACCGGGGTGAAATAAAATTTTATAATTGAAGGTGAACTATAAGTTACTTTTTAATAGAACTTTAAGTTTAGAATTATAATTTATAATTTTAATTTTTAAAATTTAATTTTTTTATAAGAATTATCCAGTATAGTAAAATATTTGTCTTACTAGTATGATCTGCATCTGAGGTGAATTATATATAATCAAAACGTTCAAAAACCTGCATGGTAATGGTATGATAGAAGTCACTTATTTTTATGTACGAAACAATAATTTTGTAGTTCCCCTTTAATAATACTTCCATCCGGCATAATTATTTTGCTGTATTATTACACAGGCGTGTTAGAAGAGGGGGAAAAAAAGAAAAAGAAAAAAGAAATAAAAAACAAAATTTAGAAAAAAAGAAAAAAGAAAAAAAGAGAAGAGAAGAGAGAGTAGAAAGGAACAAAACCGGAAACCAACCGCACTCCAATAAGGACCCAATCCCTTCTCTCTCTCTCTCTCTCTCTCAATGAAAAACAAATACCCACGACACAAAGTAAAAACTCGCTCTCAATCTCATCTTCAAAAACAAATAAAAATCCAAACCAAACCAAAATCAAAACATTCATTAATTTCCTTTCCCAAAACCATTTCTTGAATTCACTCAAAATCTCATTTTGCAGATGTAATATACACAGAAAGAGAGATGTGGATGTTGTGTGTGAACTGAGATTGAACAAATATATACACACACAGATATATAGATATATATATATATATATATAGAGAGAGAGAGAGAGAGAGAGAGAGAGAGAGAGAGAGAGAGAGAGGATTGGTAGGAAAATGTCGATAAGGAGTATAATACAGGACATGAGGATGGCGTCGCGGTCGCAGAGGGTGGTGGTTCAGGAGGTCTCGGCGGCGGCGTCGGTGTTGGACGGGCTGAGCCAGAGCTGCTGGGCGAACATGCCGCAGGAGCTTCTGAGGGAGGTGCTCCTCAGAATCGAGGCGTCGGAGGCCGCTTGGCCGCCGCGGAAGCCGGCGTTTGCCGGAGCTGGAGACTCATCACCAAGGAGATCGTCAAGGTTCCCGAACTCTCCGGAAGGTTGACCTTCCCAATCTCCGTCAAGCAGGTCCCTTTTCTCTTTTTTTTTTTGATGCGGATACAATTCGTATAATTTGGTGTGGGGTGGATTAGATTTCGATTTGGGAAAAACATAGTTTTTAAAAAAAAAAAAAGGTGGGTACTTTGTGGAAAATTAAGATTTGGTTGTGTGCAATTTAATTAATCTGGTTATTAACTGAAATACATTTTTCTGTCTAATTTTCTACAGCCTTTTATTTTATTTTATATTTATTTATTTTTAAAAAATAGGCTGGTAATGTAGTTTTCTCTTTAGTTTTAGTTTTAGTTTTTTTTTATTTTTTTTTATTTTTTTCTTCCATTTAACATCTGTAGGAGAAAAAGTGTAGGCTTTGGTGTATGAAATATCCAGACAATTTGCCCAGTTTTTATTTTGAATCTCCACCCTTAATATTGTTTAAATTTGTTGTTCAATAAGGAACTTGAGGAAGAAAGATTCTTTTCCTCTTTCTCTTTCTCTCTCTCTCTCTCTGCTAATTATATTCAAATGTCGGGTTATTTTGATACACCTATAGTCTGTCTCCAATTTCTGTTCATTCTAAAAAGTATTTGCAGAATATTTGCGCACTAGTGAGTAGTGACAAACGATGATTTAGTGGAAACTTGCTTACTTTAGATGGTTGTAGAATGAATTTTTAAATTGAATTTAATAAAATAACCTGGCTATCAGTGCAAGCTTGACATACTTGTAAATAAAATCTTTGGGATCTCAGGATGAATTTTGGCACTTTCCCAATCCTTGGGAGTTTATGTGGGAAATTACTCAGTAATTACCTTTGCTTTTTGTTTTTGTTTTTATTTTGTTAGTGCAGTTTGTTCTGTAGGGCACTTTCAATGTCAATACTTAATAGTGCTTGATCCTGTGAAGAATAGTTCTTACTTTTAAAAGTGGAAGATTTGTTCTTATTAGTTTTTGCTCCTCTTAGACAGCAAATTGCATAGTTGTTTAGTTGTCCTCGGACGCCAAATAGTGTGAGAAATTGCTCACCTATGATGGCAATAATGTGAGATTCACTTAAACCTTGTTGTGCGTTGTGTCTGTATCAAGCATTTCTGGTCGGGTACTTTTGAGCTTGGCATTTGTGAACTAGTGTTTGTTTTTGGCATCTTCTTTTCTTTGTTTCTTAAATCACTCATATCTTTTTGTTGTTGTTTGCAGCCTGGCCCTAGGGATTTTCTTATCAAGTGCTTTATCAAAAGGAACCGTTCCACGCAGACATATTTCCTTTTCCTCGGTTTGACTAATGGTGAGCATTGCTACCTGAAAATGGGAGTTTTGTATTAGTTGAGCCATAAATATCTTAACATTTTCTTTGCCTGATCTTTTTCGTAGCACTAACTGATGATGGAAAGTTCCTTCTTGCTGCACGCAAATGTAGACGTGCCACCTGCACAGATTATGTCATCTCTCTGCATGCCGATGACATGTCAAAGGGAAGCAGCACGTATATTGGGAAACTAAGGTTTGCTCTAAGAGGGTGCATAAGATTTTGATGCTTTCCTTTCTATAAATCCATGTACTAATTCTTTTTCTTTGTCTAGGTCAAATTTCCTGGGGACTAAGTTCACAATCTTTGACGGACAACCGCCTCATGCGGGAGCTAAGATTGCAAAAAGTCGCTCAACTAGGTTGGTAAATCTGAAACAAGTTTCACCTCGCGTCCCCGCAGGCAATTACCCAGTGGCTCACATTTCATACGAGTTAAATGTGTTGGGTTCTAGGTAAGAGTTGATCTTTGTTAATGAATTCTGCAAATTGTCTTTCCTCCTCATTTCAACGCTGTCTTAATTGTTTTTAACAATATGTTAACTGTCCAGTCTCATTTGAGAAGAACAGCTAACAACTTAAGAATTTATGAACAGGGGACCAAGGAGAATGCAGTGTATCATGGATGCCATTCCAGCCTCAGCAATTGAACCTGGTGGAGCAGCACCCAAGCAAACAGAGTTTTCTATCGGCAATCCTGATTCCTTTTCCTCACTCTCATTTCCCCGCTCGAAATCAACCCGCATGGAAAATTTCGTGTCAGGGCCATTGGCCATTCAAAAAGACAGAGTGCTGGTGCTAAGAAACAAGTCTCCTAGGTGGCACGAGCAACTCCAGTGTTGGTGCTTGAACTTTCATGGACGAGTGACAGTTGCTTCCGTGAAAAATTTTCAGTTGGTGGCTTCTCCAGAGAATGGACCTGCTGGGCCGGAACATGAGAAGATCATCCTCCAATTTGGAAAAGTTGGGAAAGATTTATTCACCATGGATTTCCGGTACCCAATATCGGCATTTCAAGCTTTTGCAATCTGCCTTAGCAGCTTTGACACCAAGATTGCTTGTGAATGAATGATACGGGTAAGAACAGATACAAGTTCTGTGATTTTCAGATTGAATTTTGTTGATATGTGATAGCGGTTTCATCGCGTAATTCGTGTTAACCCCATTTTCCTCTTTTTTGCAGGATCAGCAAGATTTGGTGGTCATCAGATGCCATGCAACAAAAGAGACTGCTAGCTTGTTTTTGGTTTTTACTTTGGTGGGAATTGGACTTCACATGGTCTATACGAGAAGAGTGACATGAAATTTGTAAGGAAATTGAGAACTTTGGGGCTACTTAAATCATCCATCATCTGGTGTAAAGTTTTTTGTTTTCTTTGATGTACATAATAACCATATATAATTTATATTATGCAATATGGCTTCTCCTGTGATTTGCGTGGCTATTATGTGGCTTATCTTCTCTTTTTTTTTTTTTAATTCTTTTTTTTAAATGGTTTCGTTCATTTCACCGATTCGAGTTTTCAATTTTAGTTTTATTACAGTTAAAACTCTCACAAAAATTCACATCTAACTTTTCTACTACAGTAAAAAGCTCACAAAAAATAACATCTCAACTCAAATTAAAAATTCGAATCCGCAAATTAAACGAGATCATAGGAATGTAAACTTTGTCACGTGATTACAGAGCTGCGACATTCACCAATGACGAGTCTGGACTTGTTAAGTGGTTTGACCTAGTAAAGCTTCATCAATGGTAATTATGAAAGAGCTCAGGACCTTAACATCTGTAGATAGGTACACATATTTTTACAATGCAATAGCTGATAAACTTTTCAATTCAACAACAATTTCACTCAAACTCGTAAAGGCAAACAAAAAGGGTAGTTTACTTGCTTGACAATTAAGGTAGGAGCCTTTGAATCAAGACGATTATCCTTTCTTGTCTACGCAATGAGATTTCTTTCTTCTGTTGTGATCTTTCTTCGCCACGATACACGGGTTTTTAGTCAAACATGCTGGACCAAACTTTGAAAGAAAGATCATATTTGGTTCAAGAACCACATGGCAAGTCGTACTGAATTCTCTAGTTTTTTCAAAGTGGGCGGAAATTTTGGAATGATACAAGTTAAGGTCTATGATCATTTTCTTTGATTATTAGTGCCCAGTGTCAACAAGAATTTGTAAATTTTTTCATCCAATTGAAGAAACCACTAAGAGTGGTTAACCATCACATACATACATACATAAACTGAGTTTTGATTAGTTATCATCAAATAAATATAAAATTCTGATGAACCAATTTCATTAATTGTTATAAATTTTATCAATTATATAATTTATTACAACCATTAGACTAATATCTTACGGTTAAAATAATGATACCTATTAATAAATAAATATTGAAATAACCAATAAAATCACACCCATATATATAGACTCATATACATTAGCGTGATATAGTCAATAGAGTCCATGCTAAGAAGAAAGTATATATAAAACTTCTGACTCCTTATAAAAACTGGACAGGATCAAGTGTTCACACACACACACACACACACACACACACACACATACACATACATATATTTCTGAGTAAAATACTAGAAAATACTCGACTGGTTGGCAATTCCTTGCTCGTTATGTTTTGTCTAATGAAAGCTCTTCTTCACTAACAATGATAGAATATACGTTCGGTATTTACATGAACATATTTCTAAGTCTTACTAAGCGGCTTGCATGTTGATGCCTGATTCTGAAGTCACGGGTACAGTCTCCACAGCTTCCTCCTCACTAAGCAGATCATCTGAATGTAATTGCGGTTGATTAAGACTTCGGACGAACTGCATGAACGACGAGAAATGCTTCGGCGAGAAGAAATCCTCACCCATTCGCTGATAAGTGAACAAGTTGATCACGTTCTCACCGAACAAATTCTTCTTGATCTGTTCAAAGCCATCAGGAGCATTTTTAACTGAAGAGTTCTGTCCGGAAACCTCAACCCCATGCTTTCTGCAAGCCGTCCTAATTTGTTTAAGCAACAACTCGGGACTTGAAAGAGAATCACGGGGCTGGTGTGCGTCCGATAGGTTCATTCCAGGCAATATTATCTTGCATGAATTGCTTCCAAACATCTGTGCCACAGCTTCGTAACCATCTCTAGAGCAGGTATTGTAGAACCCTGAAGTCATCTCAGAAGGGTGAGACCTAGTTCCGTACCATGAATGCATAAGCGGTAGTTTACCATGAATCGCCACTCCAGTGTCCTCAAAAACCGAGGAAGCCATGGAAAGTAGACGATTGCCATGATCTACGAGTTGGTTAGAGTACCACGAAAGGAACAAATCGCCATATGGAGATTCCCACGATCCCCCATGGTCCTTGAAGAAATTGTTCTCGTGTGGGGACTGGTCATAGCTGGGAGCATCATGGGGACCGCCGAGTCCCCAGAGGGGATTTCCTGATGCTTCAGCGTGCTGCTTCAAAATGCTAAGCATGTTTTTGTCATAACACTGGAATTCTCCAACTCCAATACTGCCCTTTGATGCCCGGTGGTGAGAAGGATATCGGAGCTCGCCATCAGGGCCTAAGCCCATGGAAACGCCCTGAAATTAGCCAAACAGGAGCCATAGAGAGTGTCAGTACACATACGAAACAAAGGGGATTCTGTCAGAATCTCAATATTCAAATTCTTACATCTATTGTGGAACCCAAGCAAGACATGAATGCAGACTTAAAGCTCTGACAAAAGTCGTGGTAAACTTGAACTGGAGTTTTTCCATCAAGAACAGGAAGATCGTCCACAGCCAATGACAAGCACTCTTTGTAACGCTGCCCTGATCGATCAGTAAAGAAGATACTAGGCTCGGATTCACCAATCCGGTACACCCACTTAGGGAGCGGGATTTTTTGTTTTTTCGACCCATGGAAGCAAAGTGATACATGAAGCTTGAGTCCTGCATTCTCAACCATCTCTGCAACAGCTCGGTAACCCGACCACTCGTATTTTCCAATCTCTTCTTTCTCAACTATTCCCCACCAAACTGGGAGTTCAATGCCTTCCACGCCTAATAGTTTCAGTGCCTTTAGTCCAGCAGCTATTGCTCTTGCATGGTTTATTGTATTGCAGTCTGAAACTACATCCAAGGGCAATCCAACAAATAACCTCACACCATCAGACTGCAAAGTGCACAAAAAAAAAGGTTAGCAAATTACAAACCTCTTCAAGCATTATTATAATACTAATAAAAGGCATACAAAACAGTTACTTTTGAAGAATGTTAACATTTCAGTTTCAAGTTTCCATGGTAAACCGAAGCATTTCTCTTCTGAATGTTTTGCAAAATCTGCCATAGGTGATCCAATGATCATCTGGATGTTTTAACGCTACGAAACCTAAAAACTTGGCCACCAAACTGAAAATTAAGACTTGCCCTTTTTAACACCGATAAGCACCAAGATTATATAGGGCCAAGTCTCATCTGGCAATTAGAAAAACACGTTCTGCAGACCCTTGAACAGCCATCACAATTCACACCACTGAGGTCAGATAAAATGATCTGCAGACAACAATCTCTCCTAAAACTCCCAACCTAAAAATTCTTAGCTTTACCTTTACACTTAGTTACCAATTAACAGTCATGCAAAGCAGCCAACCCCACTCTCCTAGATACGCAACAAATAGAAACACATGCAAAGCAGCCAACAACAATATGTTTATATATGTGTGTGTATATGTATGTATTTAGTGATTTTCTTCTTTCGGTAAGAGTTAGCTCTTTATGAAACTAATGCTAAGTTTGGAAAAAAAATAAAATACTTAGGTGAAAAAAATAAAATAATTTTTTCTCATATTGTTTGGTAAAAAAAAATATCAATTTAAAACATTTTATAATAATATTTTAATATAAATAAAAATATAATAAACAGTAAAAATTAAAATTATTATTTTACATATCATTTTTTTAAAAATTTTTTCTCTCATCTTTTCTTCTTAAAATTAGAAAGATTAAAAATTAGTAAATCCTATCAATTTTTATTTTCTTTCCTTCATCATTTTTTTCTCTGTCAAACAATTTAAAATTCTATTTTTCTTGCAAAATCTTTCTCTTATTTTGTTTCCTCTCTTTTCCACCTATCAAACACACCGTAAATGTAAGTGGAAAAAGATCCAACACTAATAATTATTAAAAAGAGAAAATGAAACTGAAAATGAAAATAAAAATAAATCCAAATCCAAAGCTCCACCTTCAATAATTCAATCTGTGGTATGTACGTTTCTTGCTTCGAATTTACAATTTTTCCCTGTTTAATTCCAACAGAATACAAAATTCATAAAATAATTTTGACAAAAGGTAGTGATAAACTAAAGATCTAAAAATGGTTTTTTTAAAAAAAAAGAAACTTCGCTTTCTGTTTTATCATCCTCCAATTTCTCAGGAACCAAACAACAAGACTCACCGATTTGGATCTTCCCGCGATGCCGGAGACTTCCTTAGGTCGTACATGTTGTGATCGTACGGTCATCGGAGAAAATCGAAGCCCAGCGTTCTTCCACCTCGTGCTGAGCGAGGCCAAGCGCAAATTGGCCCTCGAATTCAGCGCCATAACGCCATGAGCTTTCGAACTACACAACCCTAGCTCCCTGTACGCCAACTCTGTCCGTCCAACCTTCGCCTGCGAGCTCCCAATCACAGAGACCTCCATTTTCGACGATTTTTTTTTTTTTTTTTTTTTACAGAAATGAAGAGAAAAAATTCGACCTTTTCACAAACAATAGATCAGAAATTCAAGCTAAAATTTTTCCAGAAAACAAACGAATTTCTGAGATAAAAATAGAAACAAATTGTTTGGATTTGTTTTCTGGAAAAAATTTTCACGAAAAAAATTGGAACCTTTTTCCCTTTCTGGAGGTACAGATACGCAGAGAAATGAGAGATTTTGTGAAGCTTAGGAAAATTAGGACTCTCTCTGGCTATTTATACTGATACATACAGATGAAGTAAATTATGATTAAACAATAATTTTCTTTTTTTCTCTTTTTTTTTTCTTTCAATTTTGAGAACCTGAGACGCGCTTTTTTCTGGGACCATTGGATTATGCCTTTTTTATTTATTTTTTACTTTTTTAAAAAGAAGCCAAACGGAATCCGCCACGTGGCATTTTTGTAGGCACCAAAGTTTAGCCGCATAATTTGATTTTGTTTTTGTTTTTTTTTAATAAAATTTTCACTTGTTTCAGTTGTTTGTCTCACTTAAATTTTATCCATTCCTAGTTTCTGACTAGATTCTCTTTTGGGGGTTTTTTTTTTTTTTGGGAAGTCTTTAATTTTTAAATTTTGTTTTTGGATAATTGTTGGGTCGGACCCATGTGCTTGGTAGTGTTTGGTATGAGGCAATAAAAGGCAGAATTTTAAAATAATGGACTTGTCCCATTTAAAAACTATAATCAATACATGTCTATTATTATAAGAGTAAGATTCATTGCTTTTATTATTATTTATATATGATTCGTTGTTTTTATTATTATTTATATAAGATTCATTGTTTTATGAGATGTTTGGTTTGAGGATTCAAACCATGATTTGAATCATAGTTCATGATTCGCTACAGTGTTTTCTCTCACAAAAAATACACGTAAATTAAAAATAATTTTAATTACATGATTCTAATTTATGAACCAAACGTCTCCTTAGACATTGAACTCAGAAATTCTCTGCAACTGCAAGAGGCTAATATTGTATATACATCTACTGTCTAAAAAAGTATGTGTATAACCCTATAATAAATTACAATACCAAATACACAAGTTGTGTGTATTAAATGAAGAATAAATATTAAATAAAGAAACTTTTTTATCAGTAGGTTAGATTTTGTATCCGTTAAATTTATATAAAATTACATAAAAATTAAAAAAATATATAAATTTAATGATTAAAAAAATCTAGAAGGAGAAAATTTCTCATTAAGTAAACACATATAGAAAAAAGAGTTAACAACGTATCTCCATTATCCGAATTTCTCATTAAGTAAACACATATAGAAAAAAAAGTTAACAACGTATCTCCATTATCCGAATTTCTCGTTAAGTAAACACATATAGAAAAAAAAGTTAACAACGTATCTCCATTATCCGAATTTCTCGTTAAGTAAACACATATAGAAAAAAAAGTTAACAACGTATCTCCATTATCCAAAATTTGCCACAAAACTAAACTGCAGGCACGTGGCATTAAAAATTAGGGATGAAATTTAAGACTTTTGAGTGTGGGACCAAAGTGTTAAACCATATCTAAATCTATGATTAAATGAAAGTTAAGGATAATGGTTACAACATTAGCACCAAAAAGAAAAAAAAAGAAAAAAAAAAAAAACAACAAGAAGAAAAAGAAGACGAATAGTTATTGTGAGGAAAATATAGCATCCATTTAGTTTGTAGGCTGAAATAGTCCAAACCTATTTTCTTTTTTTAATTTTCTGTTTAAATATTATAAGTTCTTATATTATATTTTTCTCGATTTTATGGGTATCCGAATAGGAAAGCATTAATATTCTTTCAAGGGATGTAACATATAGTAGATTTTTTGAACTTGAAAGAGTAAATAGCATAGTTTTTTTAGGGGACATTTTCTTGAGTAGCCTTTTTTATCACTCTTTTTAAGTTAATCATGATGGAGCGATTCATTATTAATTAATTAATAGTTTATTATTAATAAATATATAATTTGTTTATTAAAATTGCTTAATTCCTAATTGATTTTGATAAACTTGATTCAATCAGTGATTAACTGCTGAGTCAATTAATAATTGACCACTAAATTAATGAAAACGACAATTTTTGTAATTTTGTAAAACTTTAATCATTTATGAAAAACATCCTTCAAAAAAGGCCATGTGTACTGAAATCCCTTATAGCTACCATATCGAGCTTAAAAATTCCCCCAAAAATTTAAAACCCCTAATACTTGTCTCTCCTATCTCTCCCTCAACAGTAGTCACCCTTTTTCTCCCTCCCTCCCCTCTCTCTTCAATAGACACTCTCACCCTCGATACGTTTTCTCTTCCCTCTCTTTCTCGATTCTCTTTCCTCAGCTCTCTCTCTGCCCGCTCGCTTCTCTCTCTCACTCAGCTTGCTCATGCTCTCTCTCTCTTCTCTCTCTTCGCTAATAGTATGCAACTCTTTCTCGTCAGAGATAGACGGTTAGAGCACAAGCAAAGATCGATGGCGCAGGAGGTCAGATATGAGGAGGAGAAAGAATGTCGAATAGAATGAGAAAAGGGCATTTTTGAAATTTTAGAATTTATGATGTTTAAATCTGCCATTATTTTTCATATCCATAAAAAATCTACTATAAATTTTTATTGTCACATGAAAATATGTCATCTCCCATGTTTTCCCTTCTTTCAAATGTGACGCGGCCTTTTTTTTCATGATTATCGCAGACTTTGAGAAATCAATTATTTTCAAGTTGTCTAGTAATTGTATTCCCCACACTCGACACAAATAGACTCTTTACATCTCATCTCTAGTCAATATCAACACTTTTCTTAAGGGGAATATCAACACTTTTTAAGTCTTGAAATTACTTTAAAATTCAAATACGGACAAAACATATATTATTTGTTAAAATCTGACTAGAGAAATAATAATAAACATCCTCTATTTTACTTTTTACACACGTCTTTTTAATAAAATTTTCATTACTAAATTACTTATTAATAGAATTACGTTTTAAGACAATAATATTTTTACAAAGTACTAATTACACACTCCACTTTAATATATATATATATATATTACCTTCTAAAAATGTTTTGAAGCGGAAAAGAGTTTTTTTTTTTTTTTGGTTGAAGAGAGAGAGTTTTCTGATTCATGATCGTTACTTTGTTTTGCTTCCTTTCGTTTATTACTAATTGTATACAAACGTTTCTTTTACTCCTTTCTTTATATGTATAATTGATTGCATATAAATCTCTTACTATTTAGAGTATTATTTAACCTGTCTTCCTTTTTGTTTTGCTTTTATTGTAATGAACCTCTGCATATCTTTTGCTTATAGTTGTCGGGGTTAAACTATTTTTCGAGATTTTTTAGTGGCGTTGGAAACTTAGTTCTATATATTATCAATTATATAATGTAGAACATTATGTAACATATGTTCGGATTCTTCTTCTAATTTCTACTTTATTAACTCTTTTTTTGTCACCTTTTTTGTATAATCGGCAATTTGGCAAAATGGTTATATGTTGTGTAAAGAAAGAAAGAAAGATAGAAAGAAAAAAAGGGCAATGATTGAAAGGAAAATTGTTGTTAAAAAAAAAAGAAAAAAGCATAAGTTTGATTGGTGGGTGGGTGAAAAAGGGAAAATAATAAAATTTAATTATAGAGATTTTTTAAAATTTTAAAAGATGTGTAACAAGCAGAGCGATGGATGATTTAAGAACAAACGTGTGAAGTAAAATCAAGTGTGATAATAGACACACCCCTAAAGAAATTATGCGGAAATCACATCTAAGTTGTTTTAAGTTGCAAGAAATAAAAGATCACGGATCTCACCTTGTTTCTATTCGTAGATAAAAACTACCGTTGTCATATCATACCAATAAAATTATGGGGTTACATTTAAGATAGCAAGGATTAGAACAAATCCCTCAACAAGTAGGATTTTTTATAAAATGTTTTGTTAATTTTATACATTTTTTGTTTTGATTTGATTTAACATATAAAAACATACACTAACGATGAGTATACGGTAGCGTAGAAAGCTCGATAATACTTTACTATTATTGTTCAGTATAAAATCTCACAAGAAATTAGTGGACCCGATTGGACCAACACTCCTTAATAAGCCATTGTATATATATATATATA